TCCAGAGTGGTTGATAATGAAATGGGAAGAGTTGGCCTTGCCCCTTGCCTTGCTCAAAAAGTAGACAAGATCTAGCATTTTCACTTTTTTTTTCCTTCAACAATCAGTCAAGAAAGTTTTGCCTCAAATTATTTGACTGTTTTCTCCCTATCCATGACCTGTAAGTTTTTATTATGTTCCTTTGTTTGCAGTATGTGCTCCATTATCTTATTTAATCACAGATTATCTTTTCACTTAATTAAACTCACTTTTCACTTTGAAACTTTGCATTAAAAAGAAAAATACAGGTGTCATGTAGAATTATTCCACTAATCTATTATATCAGTCAAATAATTGTTCCCTGCCCCCAGGCAGTTAAAGATGAGACTTTGTTGCAACTATGTTCAAAATCTTTCTCTTGTCTTTCTTCAAATTCCTGAATTTTTAAAGCCAGGTAAGTATTAAAGTGCCAGATCCTGAATACTGCTAAGAAAATGTCTTCCAAAATCACTGTTAGACATTCAGATTATGATTAATTACAAGAATAGATCCACCAAAAGCAATGTGGGTTTTCCTAAGTTAGGCAAAATACCACATTATTCCTTTAGTTTACTTTTTAAATTAGTTATACCTGTATCTTCATTTTCCTTTGTTTCATAAGATATAAAAGGACTTCCTAAGGATCTGTCCAGATCTCTGACAAAAAGGCATTCTCAGTCCATTAATGAATTCTGGTCTAAATTAATTAGCTAAAATGAGGATTAAATACTTATTATTCGAGACCCATCTCTTGATTGATTTCATAGTTAAGTCTAGAAATATTTATTTATTTATTTATTTAGGCTCAATATTGGATTAGTAGAAATATTTAGAAATAACAAATGACAGACTACTCCAGAGAATTCTTCAGAGGACATTTGGAAAGAGAGGAAACAAGAAATCGTAATCCTCAGAAAACACTGCCTTCTTGATCGGTTTACAGTTGAGCCCCAAGGAGTGGTGGGCATGAATTGGATTAAAATTGGGTTGGGAGATTGAATAGTTAAAAAAACATGGGAACAAAACCAAAGAAAAAGTATCCGAAGCTTTCCCTTTTTAAGGCAGTTTCTACATTTTCTGCCTCTGCTCATGTAGAGATGATGGCAACAGGTCTGTACAAGACAGAGCCTGTAATCTTGGTGAAATGAGTGTTTCCAAAGGTTTAAGGTTCATATATTTAGCATGCATTATCTAAGTACCTAGTATATACCATGTATTTTAGGAGTCAGTGTCTTACCCACCCACTGTGTTTTTGTGAGTTTCCCCCTCCTGTCTCTCTCTACATTTGTAAGGTGGTATTGGCTACACAAAGTGTGTTCTATGGAACCCAGATGCTTGAAGAAAAGGTTCTCTCATGCAATAGCCTGGGAAGTGCTGCATACTCTCCACACCTTGCAGATTTACAATATACATTAATCTAAAGAGGGCGTGGTGGAAATTGCAGTAGGTAGGGGAACTTCTCTGTCTGGGTCTGCTTCTAGCTAGTTGGGTGCTTAAGGCAAGCCCATACAGCTCTCAAAGCCTCGACTCTCTTATGTCTGACGTGATAGCACTGCCTCCCCACACAGCCTCGCAATGTAGGAGTCTGCAGCAGACCTTTCTGGCTGCCCACCCAGATCCATTTCTTCCTGCCTCCTTTCTAATTCCTATCTTGGTCAGGTATCTATCCTCCGCCATGCACTGCACATGCCTCAGGGAACATTGAACTGCCTTTAGCTGTACTAAGCCAGGGACAACTACATCTTCCTTGCTTGTGATTTGCTGGGAGCCTGGATGAAGTCCTTCTCTTGGAGAACTTCCAGCATTGTCCCTCAGTCTCTTCCCCTGGACACTGGGTAGACAGTATAGCATAGCTGTGGCCATCTGGTTACCAAAGGACATGAGGGAGGTGAGAGCCAAAAGAAAAGCAGAGAATGGAGCTACAACTACTGGATTAAGTCCACCTTGAAACCCACTCTCCCTCTGGATTTCCAGTTGTGAGCCAAGAAATTCATTTATGCATATTTGATTGAAATTTTCTGTCATTTGTCATCAAAGTTATCTGATAGATATAGCACTCTATAAAAGATGCCCTCTCTGGCTGGGGACTCTCAAAAACCTCATCAGAATCTGTCTCCGGGACCTGCTTGCGCCGTGTTGCCTATTCTTGTTTGAAAGATACTTGCGTTGGATCTGATTTTGAATCATAGCCCCCGTGGATGGGCTCACCCCGCCCTTTGCTTTGCACTGCTGCTTACTGCCTCACTCAGCCTGTGATGCCCAGGGACTCCAGTCCCAGGGCCCCAGACTCTCCTCCTGGAGCTCCCACTTGTTACAGGCCTCCCAGGACCATCCCCAACATGGCAGCCCTGCCAAGCCAGTGTCCTCCAGATGTTCCCGGCCCTTTAGCTGGCACCGATTTTCATGAACTAAAAATGCCTTTGTATGGAGGTTTAGGAGATGTGTGAGGCTCTTAGCACAGAACTCTACAGCCTTGTGCTGAAGCCCTGGGTTATTGTTTCTAAAAATGATGCCCTAAGACTACCAGTGTCAGAATCACCAATATCACAATCAGTCACTTGTTAAAAATGCAGATTCCCAGACCTGCCAAATAGTATTGCTGGCATTAAACTACGAAAGCCCTACTTTTCACAACCCCAACCATGGTTATCTCACACTCTGGATTAGCCCAAAGACAGCTCAGCTTCCGGCCTCAGCATCTGATGAAACAGAGACCAAGACAATGCGGGAGGGGGGCTGGGAAGGAGACAGTATTATGAAGATAGAGAATGGGAAGTGTGATAAAAAGATGCCGGACTGTTGCAGATGCACGGACTGTGCCTAAAGGCAGACTCGAATTACAACAGCCATTTGTTTTCCAGTTTCTTCGACGCTCACCTTTGGGCATCCACTAGCTTTTGTCTTCTGGTATGATTTGCACCCAGACACATCCAGCATCACGATGTAACCCTCTACAAATCACTCAGTTGATGGCAAAGAATAACAAACAATGAAGAATAAAATGTCCAAGATCCAAAGGTCAGAGCAGTCTTTTGTTAGCTGGCAATCTACATGTCACAGCAATTTTGCCCAAGAGTTCTCATTTCCCAAATGTGAAATATATTTTCCTGATTCCACTCCACACCTCACCCCCCAAGTCCACGCCTGTCCATATTGCTTATTTCACACTTGGGTGGCTTTATAAGTTCTTTCTCAGTGAGAAAGAGAAACCGACCCACCTTCCCTTTTCTTATGAAACATATTTTATCCAGTGACTCACATGACAAAATGCAGATTATATGGAAAATAATGATTGTAATTTTTGACTGTGAATTTCAGAGTTGAATTTAGGAATAGTTTAGACATAGCTGGGGAAAAAAGTAGTAGGCACCATTTTTTTCTTTTTCAAAAAATGATTGATGGATGGGAATTCAAAATTTATTCTAGAATATAGATCTACTCAAAATGGACTCTTGACAGGCCATTTCCTCAGACCCTCCTCATATTCACAGCTAATCTCCTTGTCTCTCTTATAACAACAAATCTATATATTCCTTCTTTTGTGCCCCTACTCCAGTTCTGATTGGACATTCTGACACTGAAGTGGTTCTTTTTCTTGCTCACTAAGGCAAATTAAATAAGTCTGAGGTCTGGGATACTTGGCCATTCCAGGTCCCTATACAATGGACTAAAAAAATCTATGCAATAGATTCTAGTCACTGAATTTACTTTATGGATTTTCATTTTTAAATTACATTAGCGATACCACAGTTACTTAATATGTATGCATGGGGCTTTCAGGTTAGAACTTAAAGGTCATCTCTTGGAATTTGGGCCTTCTGGTCACCAACATCACCCCCACCTTTTATTCTTTCATTTGGTGGTTCCCAAAGTGGCTATACATCAGAATCACTTGGAGTTTTTTAAAAATACAGATTTTCTGACTCAACCCAGACATAAGGAATCTGACATTCTGGAAATTGGGCCCAGGACTCTGATTTTCTTTTCTTTCCTTATTTTTACAAGCTCCCATGTGATTCTCATGCTGCCACCAATGACTCATTTATCTAAGACTTTTGGGAAACACTCATCTGGTCCAGTGGTTTTTGAAGTTGTGTGTACATCTGAAGCACCTGGAGGCCCTATTAAAACTCCCATTGGTGGCTCACTTGGGAGAGCGTGGTGCTGATAACTCCAAGGTCAAGGATTTGGATCCCCGTACCAGCCAGCCACCGAAACATTAAAACACAGATTAAACCTTCAGGGTGTCTGATTCCATAGTTGGAGTCTGAGAATGTGCATTTCTAACAAGTTTCCAGGTGATGCTAATGCTACTGGTCTGGAGACCACACTTTGAGAACCATGCCTCTAACCCAGGTGGCTTGTGCATGCATTATTTCATTAGTATTTCTATTATGTGGCCAAGAACTGGACTTTGGAAGGAATAATCCTCCCAGGTCAGAAGTAACATACCTGGCTGAGCATCATAACCACCTGGGAGGTTTTTTGTTGTTGTTTTTTAATTTAACATCCAATTATGGTTAGGGGTAAGCTTGGGCTTCATCTCAGATCTACTGACTCAACATCTCAGTATGTTGAGAACTTGTTTTGGAAGTTACCCAGAAGATTATGACTTATTATAAGGATTTGAAACCATTTCCTTAGACCAGACTTGTGAGCTTATGAATAACTTATACGAAAAATTATTTGTTTATCTGAAATTAAAATTTAATGGAGCATCCCATGTTTTTATTTGTAACCCTTTTATTTGTAACCCCGTATTCACTCAGCTGTCCTTGCCAGGAATTTGTTTCCTCTGTGCGTTCCCTTCTTTGCTCAATGTACCCCTATTTTAAATGCTTAAGGGAGCAGACGTGAAGAGTTAAACCCATACAAACATGATGATGTGTGAGGTGAAGAAGAGAATTAAGACGTTTCCTCAAGAAAGAAAAAAAGACACACACACAAAGGGAAATTCATTAATTTAGGCAGCAGAAACAAAATCAGAAGAAAAATTTACTGTCTGCTAATGGTTTTTTACCAGACAAATCGTCAATTATACAGTCAAAAGAAACCCTGGGGAATCAAAAGACACCAAATATGCTATTAAAATGTTTCAAGTGTAACCATATATAATTCCAAATATGTATAATCTATGAAAACACAAATACTTCAAGGTGCTAAGTGAAAGATGGGATAAATCTACATCAGGCTTCAAAACTGATGCTTCCAGGTAAGTCTAAATTTGGGCCAGAGACAGGGAGATAACGATGTCTGTCCCCTGCCTGTTTTATGGGAAGCTAAAGAGCCTCAAGATGAGACACTCTTAGTGTGTCAAGGATGAGAAGAAAAATAAATACAGCCCAGCTCCTGACATCAGCATGTAACTACTAAGAGATGAAATTGAGTAAGTGAACAGACAATCAAAGCAGAGAAGAAAAGATCACTGATTTAGAAGACAGAGAAAACAAGGGAGGTGATCTGGCAAACCACTGCCCAGGCTGAGTAAACACCATTAGCACCATGGTCCCTGCAAAGAAAGCTTTCTTTTTAAGGAGTCTTAATATCTCATAGGTTAGGGATCAGCAAAGTTTTCCTATGAAGAGTAAGATAGCAAAGCTTTTGGACTTTGCAGACTATATAGTCTCTGCTGCATCTATGCAACCCTGTCACGGTAGCACGTAAGTAGACATGGGCAATACATAAGCAAATGGACATGCCTGTACGCTAATAAAACTTCACTCACAAAAACAGGTGAGACAAATATGGCCTGTGGGCTATAGTTTGCCAATTCATGTCATAGGTGAACCCACGTGGCAAGGATAGCATCATTAGTGGATTCTACAGAGCACCCAGCGCTCTAATGGTGCATGTTTAATTAGAAAACCATTCCATTGTATGATCACTATACGCACAAGGGCAGAGTGTTTAAAGGGCACCCTAAAGTGTGAAGGCAAGAAATAAGGATTCCAGAAATAGGGAGAAGATGCTCATTTGAATTTCTGAGATTGTGTTATAAAAGGGAAAGAGAAGGAGACATTGGGACCAAACATTTTAGCATGTGTTTAGAAAGGTCCTTTTGGTGGACCTGACATTGTGAGAGAAGGAGGTGGCCATGGTGGAGGACCCTCTTGCCAGTTTCTCTAAGTAGTTCTTTTTAAGTTGCCACTGCTGAAGGTGCAGCATATGAAACATCTCATCTTTATTGATCAGGGAGGCTTTCTGACCTTCTCAATTCAGTAAGTTTGCATTTAGCATCCCAAAACATGTCCTTCCCAAAAAAGAAAAAAACTAAGTCACTTTGGCATAGAATTTTACACTTTAAGCCAGCATATATCACCAATGGTGTGTGGAAACAAAACTTCAGTGACTTCCATTATGACCCTGTAAATGTCAAAGGCCATCTCAGTCAAGAAACACACATGCATGCATTTACATGCATAATTTAAAAGCTTTATTTCTCCCCCCCCCCAAATTAGCAAATGATTTCACATTAGTTCAACCGGACGTCTTCTTCCTATTGATGCCTTTCTCACTGACTACGCTGTTGGAGAGAAAACTGTTTTCTCATTGGCAAAAGGGTTAATTTCATAGTGACACTCTGAACTAATCACAGACACCGGCGTGTCTGACCCAGCAGCCTCCGAGGGAGCCAATGAGGTCAAAGATTCCTTTCAGACAAAGGTCTGGTCAGGGTAGGACTAGTCAGGCTACTATAACCCGTCATCAATGTTGGCAGGATCCTCCCTGCAGAACTGACAAAATGCAGCTCCCTTTGACAGGAAGCGTGGAAGCTAGACAGTCCTCTCGGTCCCTGTGAAACCCCATCCTCAGTCCTGTGGCCTCATGTGGGAGTAGTTTTGAGAAGAAAACCACTGGCTGTGCCTTCGGGTCCAGTGTGCCTACTTTTCCAAGTGCAAGACTGGTCTTCACTCCATATACACCGTTATTGGCTTGTGCTTTAGAAGACTGGTCTCTGCCACTCCCAGGAACGGTGGCTCATAGCAATGGAAGCACAAAGACACCAGCAAGTACTGGTAGGTAGGGCGTGGGGGCACTGGTGCCAGATGTTCTCTGAGCGTGCATCACAGCGAAGACTGCGTTCGTGTGGTTGGTGGGCAGTTCTACATTGCAGATCATGCCTTCACAGCAAGACCTACACTCCTGTCACAAAAGGAAGAGGAGGGTGGGGAGAGTGAATAATAGGAAGAAGAGGGAAGAGACAAAACAAACAAAAAGAAAAGAAAGGCTTCTCCAGCTCTATCTGAAGATAGACTATCAGCGTGGGTTACCCGGGCCCTTAGGTATCCTTCCCCCTGCCCCCCACCAACAAACAGGGAGCGAAGGACCATCTTTAGAATCTTTTCATCCTAACTGTGATTTATGCATGTCAAACCCAAGCATACGCAAGGCAAAGAAGAGGGAGGGAGAATGAGCCTGCTCGATTGAGTCAACAAATCTTCTAAAGGCTTGTAAGGCAGAACACTGAAATGAAAATGAAAGCTAGGAACCTTTTGGATTAGACATTGATTTTCCTTTCTCAGTACTACTTGTTAGGGGATAATAATGACTCTATTGTCCATGCTAACACCTGACTCCTGTCATTACAGCGGCAGTGGCTTGCTAATAATGGCTGCTGAGCAAAGAAAAAGGCTTGGTCCCAAACAAACAAGGTGTTTTCAGGGAATGATTTCAGGGGAAGCAACCTCCTGTCATGATACCAATGTGCACCTGGTACAATGGCTCAACCCCATAAACCCAGCCATTCATAGAGGCTCCCAGGATGGCTAGGTAAGATAAAGGCATCAACTCTAAGCATCCATAGCTGTGGTTCTTAACCCTGGCTGGACATCAGAATCACCTCACTGGACTTTTTAAAAAGTTCCTGAGGTTCTGCTCCAATTTGCCTGGAATGCCCTGTACCACCACAAACACAGCTTGTAAACGTTGCCCAGGTAATTCTCATGTAGCCAGAGTTAAAGACACTGAGGTCAGAACCATTTTCTATATTTACAAGCTAAGTCAAATTCTAAAACCTCATGAAATGTACATACATTTAAGCAATTTTTTTCTCAAACATTTCAGGATTCCAGACATTTAAAAGAGTAAAATGCTCATTTACAATGATAGAACAAGAGTTAAAGAGATCAATTGATCT